TAGATGGTTTTCAGTTTGGATAATGTTTCCCTGCACAGAAATAATTTACAATTAAATATTCCTGCCCTCCCCTTCTCTCCAGTGATGTTCGGAAGGTCACAGCCATGTCCATGGAGTGTGCACATGCTGGCCCCGGTCTGCTTCCACCTGAGAGCCCTGGTCCCAGAAACTCATCCATTCTAATCAGAGTCGGAGCTGCCAAACTGACTGAAGTGATCTGGCTACTAGGCAAGGCAGTGAAACATCTTCCCCTCAGATTTCACTGCAGCTATGGAATACAGCCAGAAACAAAGAACACGAGTGGTTTTCACCTACCCGCAATATATCCTCCGTGAGGGTGCCCCTCCCTGGGCCCAGCTCCACCAGCTGGAAGGTGGTTGGTTTGCCCATGGCCATCCATTCACTAATGTACCATATTCCTATTAACTGTCAGTGAGAAACAACACACGGCGTTACAGTAAGAAATTCAGCACTTGCAGAAAATCACACCTGCCTTTGTCTGATAGTAACTGAGATAACATGGCCAAATTCTGTCTTGATATTTTGAAGTTAAGAAGAATTATGATACATAACATCACATTATTGTCTTTAAAGTATTAAAATTGGTCATTGATTGCTGTCAGCCCAGCAGAAGCAACTCTCCATCAATAAATGTGGAGAGTCTGTTCTGGCTGGAGCAAGAACTTTCACCTAAGGCTCAAATGTAGGTCACTGTCCAGGTACCTTTGGACAGCTGTTTTTCCTGACAATACATTTACCAAAGCATCACTGAGAAGAGGATTTAGCCAGTCTTCACTTCTGGAAATTATACACAAACCAGAGCGAGCCAGACTAAACTCTGGAGATTATTTTTGAGGGTAAGTTTTCACACTGGAAAATCACCAAACTCTTTTTATTTATAAGCAAGTTCTGTATGAAAGTGTTACTAGGCACAGATGGTGTTTCATAAAAAAGACTTTCAGAAAAACAAAACCCCCTTTTCTCCCTCAAAACCAATTTTTCTCTTGGGAAATAGCTTGAACCGTATCATAGCTACTCCAGTATTTTGACATTGATAAGGTGGCTTGGAAAACTGGCTTGGAAATCAGCTGGGATGGAAATTGGAAAGGACCACATTGGGCTATCCGGACTACCCTTCCCATTCAAGTAGGTCATCCTAGAGCACACAGCACAGGATTTTGTGTAGATGGTTCCTGAATGTCTCCATTGAGGGAAACTCCACAACCTCCCTGGGCAATCTGAGTGCCAGTAAATTTCTTCCTCATGTTCAGGTGGAACTTCCTGTGCATCAGTTTCTGCCCATTGACAGAATGGACACCGAGCCGATCCCGGCTCCATCCTCCTGGCACCTCCCTTCAGATACTCACAGACACCCATGAGTTCCCCTCTCAGTGCCTCTTCCCGAAGCTGAACGGGCCCAGCTCCCTCAGCCTTTCCTCGTCAGAGAGATGCTCCAGGGCCTCAATCATCTTTGTTACCCTCCACTGGAGCCACTCCAGGGGCTCCATGTCTCTCTTGTCCCGAGGAGTCCAGAACCGGACTCAGGGGGCAGGATCACCTCCCTTGAGCTGCTGGCAGTGCCCTTCCTAATGCGCTCAGGATTCCATTGGCCTTCTTGGCCACAGGGGCACACTGCTGGCTCGTGGATGGCTTGTTCTCCGCCAGGATTCCAGCCAGGCCCGCGTGGTTGAAGTAACTTAACGCGAAGAACTGCGTTGCCTCTCCGAACACCTGGCTTATTTCAGGCGAGGTGATGAAGTCCCCGCTCTCGCCGACGCCGCCGCGGCGTGTGTAGTAACGCTGCGAGGGGGAAGCGGCACAGGGGCCGCGGTGAGCGGGGCCCGCAGCGCAGCCCCCGCGGCCCGGCCCGGCCCCGCCGCACCTGGCCGGGGTTGGTGAGCGCCTCCCGCATGTACTCGGCCACCGAGATCGGCCCGCTGGCCCGCAGCTTGCGCGTCAGGTGCCGCAGCATCGCCCCGTCCCCGCCCGCCGCCTCCGCCTCGGCCCCCGCGCCCGAGCGGGGCCGCGCCG